TCTCCACTTTTTCAGAGCTTTGCTGGCTTAGCGATTGTGGTTCTGTGGAGTTCCTGGCTCAACAAGACTAAAGTATGCCCTATGTGCTCACCACCACAGGCAGTTGCCGTCCTTGTGGATCAGAAGGAGATTTGCCGCCATGTGACTAGTCTGGTACCACGACGGTGACGGACCTGGTATTGGTTTACTCTTAAATGGATTTCCTCATCGAAACCCCGAGTTCTTTCTCAGACTGGATGACCCTGCCAGGGCGATAAATCCCCCCCCCCCCCNCCCCCCCCCCCTACACATCGCAGTCCGTCGCCCAGAAACACTTATGAGCCCCAATAATGCGCTGAACTGTTGGGAAGAGCTAGTACAAAGCGTAACAATATTTCAAAAATTTACTTTTCTTTACCCTAGAAAGTCTTGGCATCGGTCGTCCAAGAACGATGAGTTAGATTTTGTGCAATTCTTCTTTGTGAAGGCGTAACAGAACATTTTTATCAAATTATTTGCTTTGGCACATAAAATTCTGTGATACTGAGGAGGGAGATCTACTTATTTACGATTTCATTTGGAAATGACAGATGGGTTCATGAAGTGGAACAAACTTCGTTCATTACTCGGTGAAAAAACGGAAACTTCTAAAAACAATTGGCTTTTGACCATAGCGACTGGATTAAAATGAACCATCGCGATACATTCAGATCGTTGGCAATTAAAGGCTGTGTGGAGAATTATCATAATAGGGCAGAGAGCAGTCATGAAAAGCTTACACTAACGTATAGCGGAATGAAATCCAGAAATTTCTGAGTGCTAAAATCGCCGTGAACTTAATGATTCCGATACAAGAATGGAATTATTTAGCAACAGCACAGGAGTATTTATCTATTCCTTTTTACATTATTTTTAGGGGTAAAGATGGTGAAACTTTCAGTACATACCTAAAATTCGATATTTGCAATATATAGAATCATGTTTTGGTAGATATAAGATAGAGAAAAGGTACGGTAAAAGGATAAAGGATAAAACTCTCGGCGTTGATCAATCCCTGTGGGATGTGCCATGCAATCGACTTCATTAAGCATCGTTTTGAGGCGATTGAATGCATATCTGGTCTTTACAATGACTTGCGGTGGCCTACCGATGTATCGGGCTAGTGCTGCTATCCTTTCAGACAAAGCCGGTACCAATTTGCCGGCCGCGGAGGGATGGAAGGCTTGGTGGGCCATGGGCGCGTGGATCGATTCCGCATGTATGTTGCAGGGCGTCTCCGACCACTGCGCGACACACGCCCCTTGAAGGCGATATAGGTACACATTAGTGTAGCTCATAGATGTAACTACTGGTTAAAAACAGCTTTTGGAGTAAACTACCGTGAAAAAATCTCACTATCGTCATCTTAAAGACAAAGTAGTACTTCCGAACCTTTGGTTTCTTCAACTACATTGCCTTCAGGCCATTAAATAACAATGAACAACTCCTCATTGTTATCAAATAGCTGAGCAGTGAAGTAATTTACAACATATGAACGATGCATGTGAGCACATTAACTAGGAGGAAATGTATTAACGAGAAGTACTTTAAGACTTCAGATAACAAAACAGTAGTTGATATCCATCGATATCCCCTTTATTACTAGCGAATTATTCGAGCGACACCACCAACGTTTCCACCCCTCGGTACTGCCCGAGTGTGCAGAGTGGACCGCCAGGGGAAAGAATTTTTTATGAGGCAGCATCGACATAAACGATAAAATTTACACGCGCTCATGTTTTCATGACTATACATATTTATTTACAAAAGCTGCAATTCAATTCAATGCAGCAGAGACAGAGGTAGACCGCACTCTGAATCTACCTGTTTCCTAAGATAAGTGCAAAGTTGCGCTTGACATTTGTTTAACCACCTATCCACCAAATTGCGACACCATCACAAAGCCCTGCGACGCCCAGAGTCCCACACATGAAGGAGAACTCTGCACATTCCAACAAGAATTGCATTAACTCGTTGAAATCGCCTCTTCGATTAGACTAAAGTCTGATCGTGACGATCATAATGTCCATAGATCTTATTTTGATACGGCAGCGAAAAGACTTGTAACAGTGAAGGTAACACCTAAATTGTACGGTGTACAAGAACCAACGATTCTTGAGCAACAGAGGTAATAAAATATAAAGACGTTGTTTTCTTGTTCATCAATTTAACAGTCAGTTAATAGAAAGTCGATCCTGGAAAATGTAAAGAGTTTCAGAAGTAATTTTAGGAGCCTTATTATTTTGGCTACCTACCATATCTCGTTATGTTCATATTGGCTTAGCATTGTCATTTGTGGAGGGAGCAGGAATAGGTCTTGTTGCAGTTTGCCGGTTGTTTAATGAAATGTTAATTTAAACGAACTTCAACTTTAAGAACCTTAAACGGTAGAAATAACGTTGGCACCTAGGTCTGCGGGCATCCAAAACCAAGGTCAAGCAGTCTGCCAGCCTAACTACATAATCCTCTTAAAACTTTGACAGTAGTCCCCTTTTTCAAACAAAAAGGAGAAAATGTAGCATAATTTTATAGAACATAAATACTCACACTTTTGCTAGCGTCAGCTAGTTTGGAGTTCAAAGATAACTACCATCAAGATATTTGGTTACTTTCTTGTGATGGAAAACTGGTCAATAGGTGAAAGTTTGTTAGAAATATGAATGTAACCGGATTTTAGTAATATTCCAACGACGAAGAAAAATTAGCGACAAACGAGCGAAAATTTCGGAGTAACTATTGCTACGACTTCTCAAAAAACTGGAGACAAGGCCTTCGAAATCAGCGAAGTAGAATCTTCCTTTTTTCCGCCCCTTGGTTAAAATTTTGCAGACCTTAATTAGCCACGTACAAATGACTACGTGAATCCAAGGTACTTTTTATATTCTAAACAATTCGTCGTCATTTCTTTGCGAGCTCCATTTACGCGAAAATCTTCGAGTCAAAACGATAAAGATCATACTACAACACTTTGACATTGAAGCAGTACCTCGCCCTCAGATAGAACCGCCCCGATTTTTATTATTTTACCATCATATTTTTCCTCAACTCCGATTTCTACCATAATCTGTTTTTGCATGTCAACGTGGTCCATGGGTCTCCTCAGTCAAACAGTCTCTATTTGTGCTAGTTTTCGCTGCATTTCAAAACTTTTTGTAGTAATGAAGTACACAAGCGAACTAAAGATGGACAAACACCGGGCAAAACACTGTCCATAAACATACTCTATAAATGTTCTTGAATACATACTTGAAGTCTTAGATGACCGTTGTTCACATGTCGTGCGGGCCCAACATCTGTTTCATTCGTTTCCTTGTCTTATAGCTGTCACTCTTGTAAGTGGATCCATCAGTACGTCGATATGCAGTGGTGTGGTTTGAAGATCTGTTTTCTTCACTCCTCACTGGCATTTTGCGACCTAGTTGTGAAGCGTTTTTTTAAAGCAACACCGTTAGGCCGTTCCCACGCAATCGCCGCTTGGTGGTTTCTTTATTGTAGGCTGGATTCTTCCATGGCGTTAATAATTCGTACCCCGGCCACAATAAGTGCGATTCGATCGAAGACAATACGACAAACAGAATTCTTTTTAAAGTCCTCAGTAGTGCTAAATGAAACTGGGGCTTCTTTTTTTTTTTGTTTTTCATTTTATTCTATTTGATTTGTCTCCCCGTTTACTGAGCGGATACCGGCATTTCGTTTACTCGCATCCATCCTCCACGAAGGCCTTCCAAGTTTTTACGTGTGGTTTCGGTTGCTGCTTGAGGATTTTCATTTCATCTTGAATGTCGTAGAATGCTGTTTGAGTCAATTCTCCCTGGAGTCCTGAGAGAGCCGGGATGGAGTGTTCCCAATTGGAATGCACAGAGCAAATTTTTCCCAGAGAAATCCAGTACCCATTTCGCGATCCCGGAGAGAGGAAAGGCTTGGGCAGGCCGGAGCGGAATCGCTACCACTGTACTATCCACCCCATCAACTGAGGTATAAATCCTTGGAAATTAAGAAATTTGGACAAATATAGAGCGTATTCATGGACTTCGACAGAAATGTTCCGATACAATAACCACTGCTGAGAAATGTCTTGTCCATACGGATTGGAAATATGCCTTCGCATAGAAGTCGTGGTCCTACCTAGCACGTTGAATGTAGATGACAAGCTAATGAAAACCACTAAATGGATTAGGAACTAGGTCGAAGTCGCGCATTTCCCTTACCAGTAATTCCTAGGAGGTCGCTAAGAGGTCGCATGAGAAGGCTAAAAATCTGCTGTTTTCGGTCTCGCTGAAAAACACCGTAACGCTGTCGCAGGGCTAAAAGTCGTGTTGATATGAGTGAATTTCATTTGAACCACACAATACAATAAAAAGATGTTGACTGGAAGAGGTATGAAATATGAATAGTAGCAACAGTATAACAATATAAGTTATAACATCTCAGCATCCTTGTGGCTAAGGATAATATTTCTTGCAACCTGTTTTTAAACAATTCTCAGAACCTGCAACTATAACTTCCATCACGATACTCGTCCACTGAGAAAAATGGATGTACTCACACGAAGTGGATTCCGGCATCTACTGTAGCAAAATATACTTACTCATTGTACCACCACGAGTTAAGCACAACTTGATTGCGCAAAGTCAGCGTAAATAATTAATAGAACGTTAAAACGAGACCTAGCAACGAGGATCCAAAAATAGAGACAACCGGGAACGCTGGTACAGAAACCTTCATGATCACATGCAACAATGATAATGAACAACCATAGCGATCTCGTAAACGGTTCATATTCACCGATACAGTTTCCGGTCACGAAGAACGTCTACGAAGATGGCACCTTGTAGAAAAATTGACCGCAACGAAGCCGTCGCCACAGCTCTGCTCCTAGGAGCTCCTAAAACGAAAACAACTCATCAAAAGAAGTATGAATAAAAGAAACCACCGTGCAATATTGAACGCGATACTGATTTTTATCAAAAATTTTTCAAAAATCAAGATACCAGTGGACTTACTCGCTCCTTGTTGGCCTTCTTCAGGATGCTGCTATTTTCAATCGCTCTTCGCGACAAATAGGGTAGCACTTTCTCAACAGGGCCATACGGCAGGTACTTGTATACGGAATATGAGGCCTGTCCGAGCGAAAACGACACCTGAAAACGTAGGAAGTTATCGAATATTCTAGCAGGTTTACACATGAGGACATCACGCCGACCAAGTGGAAGAGATCGAAAATAAAGGATAAAGAATAAAGCTCTCTGTGCTTATCAATCTCTCAGGGATGCATCATGCATACGACTTCACTAAGCACCTTTAGAGGTGGCTGAATGCATATCTGGCCTTTACAATCGCTCGAGATGGCCTACTGAGATACCGAGCCGGTACTGCTATCCTCCCAGACAAGTCTGGTAGCATTTAAGCGACACCGAAGGGATGGAAGGCATAATGAGCTTGGGGCGGGAGGATCGATCCCATGTGCATTGCAGAGCGCATCCGACCACTGCGCTACACGGGCCTATTTAGAAAGTACTGTAGTGGAATTTCATTCGCTGGTTTTTTGCTTACCTTGCACATCATAACTGGGAAGAAATGCTAGATATCGAATTGTATTGCACAATACGATGCTCGTTTTTCTTTTTGAAAGAGTTACCCATACATAGCGAAAACCGGGACCTACTAAGAATAAAACTTCGCTCCCATGTTTTTTCCCATCTCTCAGATTATTCCTAATCCAGATAAGGAACAGAAATCCATTTGAATCAAGGAATAATAACCAGTGATGAAGCCTGAAGATATCTCATACATATTAGGATTATTGCAAATAACCACTTTACGGATTGCTCGAAGAATTCTCACCTTAAGGTTGCGTATTTATCAAAAAGTTAACTGTATATTCTATCTGAAAGAAAGCCAGTGAATTAAAAGTGGTGCAAAAGAGAGTTTACATATATAAACAAGCATCCAGAAACTGGATTAGAAGCCACTTCTCAGTGTCTCATTATAGTAAGGACAAGAGTTTTTCGAATGAAAAACGGTGAAAGAAATTATTAGCCATCAAGAGATTAAGATTTTACTCCAGGCATGGGTAAGACGAAACAGGCAAGTATATGTCAGCAAGGCGGAAACATTTTTAACCAGCCCACCTGGTCACACATCCTGTAAAGTTGAGCGAAGCATATGATTTTCTCACTAGGAGCGATTGCACGGTCACGCATTAGATTGACGGCGAATCTGGAAACGGACACTGTGATAAAAATAGGCAGCAGAATTCATCCAGACACTGCTCAAAAAAATGTGCTTCAGTTGAGCATTAATGTAGTCCACAATATTCTTTCTATCATTTTTGAAGCAGTATCCTGTTCAAAAATTATGATAAAGAATAAACGATAGAGTTCTCGGCGTTGATAACTCCCTGAGGAATTCTACTTCATTAAGCACGGTTAGAGGTGATTGAATGCATATCTGGCCTTTACAATAGTCGCGGTGGCTGAGCAATGTATCAACCAAATGCTGCTACCCTTCCAGGTCAGTCTGGCACCAATTTACCGACCCCGGAAGGATTGGACGCAGCAATTGATCCCATGTGTATCGCAGGGCGCCTCAGACCACTGTGCCACACGCGCTCAAAAATTATGCAACATTTTAATAGAGTGGCTGAGGTGAATAGAAATGCTAGACAAGCGGACAAAGAAAAGAAGGGGTGCATAGAAGACGCACAGTCGTAAAGAAGATTACAGTAATGGAATCTTTCGAAACCTAAAATATGCCAGTACAGACCATTGAGAAAACACAAAAAAATAAATAAAGTGGAGAAAACACGGTTGAGAGAAAGGCGAAACGAAGGGTTTGTATGGTGTGGTGGTGGAGGCGTTAGCCTTCGGAAACGATCATAATAGTGAAACAACCTTTACATGACGCCTATAGGTCAATAACACGGCTGAGAGATGGGCGAAGCGAAGGTCTCACATGGTGTAATGGTGAACGCCTTAGACCCCGAAAGGGGTAATAGCGTGTTCGTTCCCCACCCGAGACACCAACGGTCCGGAGTTTTGCAAATATCTCGACATCACTATGGTTATATTTCGCATAATACCTTGCCATTAGAAAAGAGTGGGAAGTAAATCTCAAGAAGGTCAGGAATTGGATTATACTTGCGTTATAAAGGCTAAACCATGGGCTGGGATGTTTGCTGTTTCCTTTCAAACCATAAATGAAATTATAGCAACATTTCAAATTAATCGGAGAGGAGAAAAACACTACGATGTGATAACGATTAGTACCTAACTGTATCTTCATTGTGAGAGGCGATCATCACCGAAACTGCTCCTTTTCCACGACGGGCATGCTCCTCAGCAATGCGCTCCAGACAGGCGTGATACATACGAGAAGTCGACTGAAAACAACAGTACTTCACAAATGTTGATGTAAGCGATTAAGCTCAATAAACAAACGTGGTCGATTTGTCCGTCACCTCGTAATCCGGATTTATAGGATCAGGATAGCCGACAGAAGCGGCACGCTTACGTTCCTAAACATAAGAATCGATCCAGATTGTAATGAAACACTCGAGAATTCCAGGAATATGTTACACAAACAGTGAAACATTTCTGAAGGATACAGATTTCGAGTGTAGTCAAGGGTTACACCTTTAAATGAAGGCGTCAGATTTTTACTAAATATACAACAGATTTGACGATTTTAAGATCTAATGATCTTCGTTTTCTAGTTCTTCAACAAACTGTGAAGTTAGATAAATCACTGTTTTCTAAAGGTCCGTTAGCAGAACAGTATTCTACCGTTCAAATTCTGCAGTCCAATTAGACCCAACGACCCTGGAAGGATGGATGGTTTGGTTGCTTCGATCGAAATCGAACCTAGTCCAGCTTCCTACGAACGATATCTTATCGTTGTAATTCATACTTTTAACTGATTTTTACAATATCGAGTTGAGCCGACCTGTTCCATATAGGCACCACGGACGAGTTTCAAACCAAAATGCCAGCCTTCACGACGGGCCAGCTGCATGTCGCACTCCATCACGTCGAGGGTGTTGCGAAGATATGCTTGGTAGGTGTTGAAAATGTTCCCATGGTGATAATTATATCTGTGATAAATAATTATAGAATGTATGTTGTCTACTGTAGCCACAACATTTATTTACAAATAGAACCGGTGGAAGGGCAGTGGTGGTGGTGCTAGCGAACAAGGCGCTGGCAGGACTTCTCTCCGAATCCACCAAGCACTCTATCCCTTCGGGGTCCGGAAATTGGTACGAAGTTTGTCTTGTACCAATTCACACACTCCAGAAGGAATACCAGGTCATGTAAAAATAATCCAGTGCCAACGGTCTCTTCGGACAAAACCCACGGAGAAGCACAGCGAGTTCCGTCCAGCAACTTTAAAAAAACAGCAAAAAAAAATCAACCAATATTAAACGTGAATTAAAGAAAGACTGGATCACATCTTATTTAGATATAATGTTATAAAAGTTCTGGCGGTCCCGGATCTAGGTACTGAGGGGAAGTGTGCTAATCAGCTACCTTCGCATCATCTCCAGCACAATACGGGAGATGGCTGGTTGAAAGTAGGTCTGCTCGGCGTCAACCATCACTCGCACACCTCTGGCGATTGCGTGCTCGGCGATATCAATCAGTCTTCGCATCATGTTACTGAACTGAAACCGAGTCATTTCTACACTGTGAAAAGCAAAGTATTCAGCATGAAGTATGTGCGCCAGCAATTTTATCTTCTCGGTACTATGTCCCATTGTGAGCGTGAAATAAATAAATAGCAGTTCTATAGAATGCAGTGGTCAAATAAACTTCGAATTTCATGTTAGCGCGAAGAGAAAAGCATATAAAATGATAAAAATATATCACACAATTCAAGGACTATATGTTTAGACTTTGAGACCAGAAATATGCAAAAAAAGCTAGTAAACTTTATTCGTAAATTCCTGGAAATCATTGTATGTTGAGCTCCACAAAGGATCAAAGAAAATAGAAAACCTCACTTCCTGTTCCTCTTCAGCAGTCAGATTTTGAATCAGAGGCTCCAACTGACCAGTTTTAATGTTGAGGATCTGAACAGTATTTTGAGTGTACCATAAAAGTAATGTAGACATAGGTGTAAATATAGGAAAGAATGGTACCTTGAACATGTTGCCAAGCTTAACGTGATCGTCCAGTATCTTACTCCAGCCGTGAAAATCAACATAACCATCCCCGTCGAAGTCGACTGTCTTGAACCACTCCCGAATTACTTGCGACTCAGCTTTCACACCAAATTCCTATAGAAAAAATCTCGCGACGAAGTTGACGAAAACTGTAATAAATGATGAAAATGAAAACATAATGGTATAGATGATCAAACGTTGTGTCCAACACAGAAAATATTGCAAAGTATAAATAAATAAAAATAGGAAAGGAATAAGCAGTGAATAAAAATTGACGACATTGCCATCTATATCATAGCTTCAGTCTAACTGGGTTCAACGCCAGTTTGTGCTCCCTAGATCAATCCCGTTGACGGGTGATTTCTGATAGCACTTACGGGTCAATAGAACCAAGGACCCGGATGGTTTGGTGGTGAACGCGTTAGTACGCGAAAAGGGCAATAGCGTGTTCGGTCCCCACCGCAGGAGCCAGTGGCCCGGAGTTTTTCAAATATCTCAGTATTATTGTGGTTATATTTCACATAATACCCTGCTATACTTTCAAGTACTGAGTTTTTCCTCAAAAAGTGGAAATAATGCAGAGCGTGGATTCCACACGTATGAAGGCATTTTTAAGAAGATGTCCATTTGACAAAAACTTGATCTCAAGAAAAAATAGCACACCTTCAGCTTTTTGATCAGATCTTCTTCACTTAGACGAGAAAACTGAATCTTTTGCGTTCCGGTCAACGCTTTGAAGAAGTTGTGAGTTTGCGCAATCGACTCTGTAGAAGACTTTCATGTCAACCAACAATAGGCATTTATTTAATCCATCGACTTTTAATTCTTATCCTAAGAATTCGGTAAGACAGTTCAGATAGAAAAACTTGTAAACAGATATCGAAAAACGTACCACGATATCTTTAATTACTTCTAGTATTACGGCATATCCTCCCAACGGTTTACCCCCTCGTCGTGGCTGGGAGGTATTCCTGGGTATGGCGCTGCGATGTACAGCGGGGGAGGGGGAATTAATCCCTTTGGTAGGATCTCCCTAGCTAAGAAGGAACCCGGCGTTTCCATCAAGAAGCCTAGCTAAGAGTAAAACAATACCAAGAACCACCACCATCCTGGTATCAAACTAGTCGCATGGTGAAAAATCTCCTTCTGATCCACAAGGACTGCGACTGCCTGTCGTGGTGACGACCTGGAGTAGACTTTGCCCAGGCTGTCCTCGAGATTCCAAGGAACCACAATGGCTTGAACAGCAAATCTCCGATAAATGGAGATTACGCTGGGGTCAGTATAACCAGTGAGGACGGGCCGTTCATGTATCAAGTAAGTAATACGGCATATAAAGATGTATGCAGTACTGTCAAGCTAGTCATAAGTGTCGCATGAATTTAATTACAGTCATAATACTAGAAATTCGAAACGATATTAACATTTACGAAATGGAAAATAATGATGAATGAGAGGGCCATATGTAGAAGAGTAGAAATCATCAATTAGCTTTATTCTTAGTATTTTCTTCGCATGACCCGACTTTTTTCCTGTTCTTTTAATTGCCTTGCATCGTCATTTACGGAGGTCTTCCAGGACACATTCAGGACACATTTGGTTCCGGCTGTTAGCTGAAAATTCTTCTTCGTCAACGTCGGTTTTGAAAACCTTGGATAACTGTGTTGAAGTTTCCTTCCTAGATGCTCACCACAAAGAAAGTCGACGGACTTCAAGGATCGTAGGGAGTCTTGATCAAGTCTGATACCAATTTATCAACTCTAGAGAGGAGCACGATTGAACCAGCGACTTAAGGTGTATTGCTCGACATCTATAATCCCTACTCTTTCCACGTTCAAATGAAACAGCCAATAAAATAAGGCTATTTAACCACTTCAACAACAATTGTTCCAGTTACAGAAGCTTACATTTCCCCAAAACCAAAATTTTTTCAGTTCTCTATTCCCACATAATTTTAAAATCCGTAAGTTTACAAAACAAAACAAGGCTTCGTTCAAACATCTGGCACTGACTGAACAGCTACAGAAGTCAACAGTTCACATTACTACCTATCAAAATGTCTTCTGGGATTGGCCTGCTATGATAACTATTCCCCTTAATCGTTCGTATTTTCCACTTTATCGCATGCCTCTGATGACAACTACGTCGTCTTTCATCTTGCTTACACATTTCAAGTAATCGAACCTGCGTCGAAAGGGCGACGCTAGGAGTGTCCCGTATCACGCAAGTGAGAGAGGGATCCTAACTTGCTACCTACGTCTACGTTTAAAAGCCAAAAGGATTGCTGTACACACCACACTATCGAAGATAAGGTGAGCCGCACAAGTAATACGTATAAACGACAACCGACGGACAGGAGCCGTTAGTGACTGGATTCCTTGGGATGCAATATGCACAGCAGGAAGACCACTGATCCAGTGGTTAAGGTTCTTCACGAAAACTCTGGAAGAAAGATATAAAACTCAACGAAGACTTGCAGCGAGCAGAACCCAAAGGGCTATTCTTGCACGCGATCGCGAGAAGTGGAAGATTTATTGACACCCACTCGAGTCACTCGACGATCAACGGAACGACAGGTATAGAGAATTCCTCTATCATATGGAGAACTCTCTATCTACCTAACTAATACATTCTATGGGTCGATGGAGACCACACTGCTACAACTCCCGCGCGTCCTCTTCGTCCATCCCCCGTTCTGGCCATTAGGCACGCCGCTCGCTTGGAAGTAGCCACACCCACTAGCGCCGTCGTTTGTCCCGACGACACCTTAGAGATCGCCGTCGCCAAGTCCGTCATTATTTCCTTCCCGCTTGATCTTTCCTTGCGGATTCATTTGCTTAAGTCGTAATGATATTAAGCGTAACCCTTAGCTCTTGCATTGCTGATACATTAACGTTATCGTTGATTCTCGTGTAATTACGTTGTGTGTGTTAACATAAGTTAAATGCTTTCATTGCTCACAGGTACCTTACAAAAAATTCTCTTTTACTCACTCCTACGAACGCTCTTCATATTGTTTAATGTTTTGTTTTCTGCCTTCTATAATTTTCATGGCAGGTTACTAAGCGAAATACAACCACAACGTTGCTGAGATACTTGCTGAGTTGCTGAGATATTTGCAAAACTCTGGACCGCGTTACTCCCCGGAAAGGATAATAGCGCGTTCGTTCCCCACCATAAACACCTGCGGTCCAGAGTTTTGCAAATATCTCAGCAACGTTGTGGTTGTATTTCGCTCTTCATATTCCTGCGCTGCGAGCCGCCACAACAGGTGATACGGGTGAACTTTGCCTCATAATGCGTAACCACATTCTAGTTCAAATTTCTCTGCTACCTTTCGCAAGCCAATTTGATGGATTTCTTCGTAAGCAATAATTTTCTATATAACTGAGCTCACATGGGGTTGGTATAAAAAACTTTTCTTCGGCTACCGTTTTGACGCTTTAGCCTTTTGAGCTAAGCGATTAATCCGTTCCATCAGTCGACTCGACGAACTGTATTCATTGAACTAATCAACAGAGTGTCATTGAGATTTATTTATAACGCAGTAACCTAATTTCTGGTCCGAAGCAAGCTTTGTTTTTGCCTGCACAAACACTTCGTATCACCTGAAAGCTTCAGAAGTAGGGTAGGCCGTCCGAGTGCTGTCAGCTTGATGGCAGCAAATCCCTCGCCTTTAGTAGCCGTTGCCACCGCATCCACCGTTTCGATGAAGATATCGCGATTGCGGTCGCATACGTGCTCACCTTCGTACAAGTAGGTCCTGAACTTCAACCTCAGAATTGCAATACAAAAAGCCGTTTTTTTTCAAACAAAAACTATTTCTTAATGCAGTTCAACATCGTTTCTAAATAAGATTTCCAAGAATCCATAGATAATGTTGACCAGGAATGTGGTGGAAGATAACAGAAGCATAATCGAAAAAACTTCGCTTTCCATGTGAAAGAGTTGCTGCTTGAGAAAAAGTGCTTATACAGCAATTTCTTGAAGAAATTTCAAACTGATCTTCACAAACATCAAGTATGGCCTATCTCAAACTGCGAACACAGCCCCCTAGAGCTACGAACCCGCATTGGTTTAGAGGCAGAAGAAAAGCTAACTTTTGCAAAGTTGGTCCGTTACTAAAAATTCTTCTTTGGAAAAACAGTATGTCTGTTAAATTGGTTACAAACTTGACTGAAACGAAGGAAAGTGTTCAAGTTTACGAAAAACCTTTATGTATAGAACTTTCAATGGGTCAGATAATAAGAATCATTTCCCACCGACATTTGTATTCGCAGAGTTCTTTTCCAAATCCAATCAAATGTATACTCTAAGGACTGACATCAAAAGATCATGAAATCTTCACAATAAAATGATGCTGAGGAGACTCTTCCGTCTGATGGACGTCCGTTAAATCTGAGCGCACATATGTAACGTTACTATAAGAGGGGCACTCTAGAAAATTCGTTGACAATGATTGAAACATAACTTCAGTGATGCTGAGATATTTGCAAAACTCCGGAGCGCAGGTGTCTATGGTGGGGAACGAACGCGCCAATATACCTTGCCATTAAAAAAAGAGTAGGCAGTAAATAATAAGTTAAAATAGTGATTGAAGTACACCGAACACTCTAAGACGTCAGCTAGTTCGTTGCCGTTTGTATGACCGTGTACGCGAAACGTCTCATAATTTCATACTTTCCCTTAATAGTGGAGAAGACGATTTCAGAAGTTTCGTTCGACATACCTAGCCTCTTGTAAACAGTGCGAGGACGAATACATTCGCAAAGTGGGTAACACCATTCTGCGTCCTTATAAAGGCGCAGCACCTAGTTGGAAATTTTAAAACCAAGCAAAAAATTCCACTAGACACACATAAGAAATATAGGAATAACGGAGAAGATTTTGAAATAAAAGCCACTATCCTCGCACAATAGTGTAGAACATCTGTGTGGAAACGCTTGAAGCGATGTGGACAAATTCCGGAAATCCAAAAATGAATGGCAAGAACTGTCTTGTGACTCACAGGCCGACTTTTTTTTTCACCGGAACTGGGCACATTCCTCACAAACGTAGGACTCTGGGCGGCTGCTCCAATAACTGGAAGACTTCAAGGAAACAAAATGGTAAGTGTTTATGAGAAGAGGCGGGAGAGGAAATATGTGGATCAAGTTTTTCTGCTGGGTTAGTGAAAGTGTTTGACTGAGTGGAACGCATACCAGTTTACCTTTCCAGAATATGAAGAAGGCGAAACCGTCGAAAGCTTAGTCAGTATTGAACTGAATAAATCTGTATGTGGAGTATGGAACAAATCTAATAAATAAATAAGGAACAAATCTGTATACATTCATGTTGATTTCGCTTTTAGGTAGGGAACTGACGGACAAATCACTGTTGCTTCAAATAAATCTGCTATTTACTGAGCACCGGTAGAACTTCGAACGATTTCAACGCGATTAGTGAGAAGTCAAACGAATGCCAGCCAATAACGCCAACAGCGCTTTTGCGCCATGCGCTTCAAAATTCATGCTATAACTAAACGATTTGTTTAAAGCAAAAATTTCTTCTTCAATGAGATCTCATCCCAATAGCACACTATTGTGGGAAAATGTGACTGATATACGATGCTTACAGTCGTACCTTGCGCTTATGACATCCTTTCGACGGTCGGCGAACTCTTTATGCACGGTATACTTCTGCCGGGTTTGCTGCAGCGTCTTCGCATCCACTGTACTTGTGAAGGCCTTAACTACTGAAGAATACATTATAAGTTTCTCTCTGTACGTTTAGTCAAAAGATATTTGTATTCAGAAGATACACTATTTAAAGCGGAATTAAAAGCTTACACGCAATTAGGAAACACATTATTTTGGTTTTCACAATGTTACCTCTTTTATTTACTTCCGACCACAATTTTCACGGCAAGGCATCAAGCGAAATCAACCACAATAATGCTGAATTATTTTCAAAACTCCGAACGGCGGGTGTCTGCAGTAGGGATCGAACACACTATTGTTCTTTCCGGGGTTTAACACGTTCACCACCACATCGTGCAAATATTTTGGCATCATTGTGGTTTATTTTGGTTCTCTCCACCACTTATTCCCCAATAAATATAAGATAAAATTAGAAGAAATGGAATGGTAAGATTTTACAATGGGAAACGATGTCCTGCAATGCAAACACTATGCAAGATTGTGAAGGACAAACAGCGATAGTTAAAAAGAAGAGCAAAAGAATGGATATAAATATTGAATAGTAACGTAATAGTCGTACCTCAGGTGCAACTTCCGCTGCTAGCTGAGAGCTCTGAGTTGTCTTCACAGCCTCTTCGCTACTCAGATCTGATTCTACAGAGTAGTCGAGTATGGACTTCACGCCGAACTGTTTTAGCCGAGCGGCTACTAACTCGACCTTAAAAAATCGAAATAAAAAAAGAGAAAAGTTAATTTAATGAAGACATCCACCTGAGATAGAGATGACCATATGTGGTCTAGCTTCCCTACGAGTACTGAGTGATCTCTATGAGTCGACTCCAAGAAGTGTCAAAGGAACGGTGGTTGGACAGATCAGAACAAGATGTTAAGAATTCTTGATGGATACTATCAGCGGAAAGATAAATAACACTTGTTATTACGGAAAAATTTATCCCCAAAATAAACTATTTTACCTCCAAAAGAGAGACCCCTCCACAAAATGTATTTGTTCGGGCAGTTATGAGTGTTTCACTAAACTAGGGATAAATGACAACGAGACGTGACGTACCTCCTTCCGATCTTCGCCGGCTACGAAATGCCCAAAAAATGTGCGTTTTAGTAGCTTCCTGAACAGCGACTGGCCTAGCGTAGCTTTCAAGGTGGCCAGTATCCATTGATTATGCCTAACTATTGGCTCAATGGCGCAGATTCGCAGAACCAACAAGGCTCTCAGTATATCACTGTTCGACTTGCTCTAAAACGAATAACAAGCCTTCACTGATAACATGCCCTCGCAGTAACTGCAAAATAATCTCCATTCTGATTTAAACTTGAACTTAATTTTGGAATACTTGCATTCTTCCCACAAATTAGGTCGACCTTGCCAAATTGATCTCCTACTCTGAAAGCCTTAAACGGCATGTAAGGTTTGACGATAATGAAAGTGATTTCCAAGGACCCCTATTGACATCTCCTATGCTAATCCATCTTCCACTTTAAGACCTTCTTGCTTAAGTGGTTCCAGGAACTGATTCAGAGCAATAATATGAGAATAAAGCATAAACTTCTACGATAAAACTTGGGAATACAGCTGTAAAAACAATGTCCATAAACCTAGCCATATATAAAGTTGACTCATCTAAAAGGTAGTGTTCTTACGATTTCTATGGGCCAAGTTGTTTTGTAAGGATATCGTTACGAGATAGAAAGTATGGATAAAGGATAAAGGTCTATAGAAGACATGATACAAGAATATCACCTGTATCACTTGTATCATTTCTAGTCCCCTTGATCGTCGAGTGACTCGAGCAGGCGGCAGTAAATCTTCCACTTTTTCCCGTTGCGTATAAGAGTAGCCCAGTGGGTTCTGCTCGCTCTAGAGACTCGTCGAGCATCATATCTTTCTTCAAGGCTTTCTTGTGAAGAACTCTGACCTTCGGGTCGGTGGCCTTCCTGCAGTACGTTTGACATCCCGGAGAATCTGGTCACTAACGGCTCCTGCCCACCGGTTGCCGTTCATACGCATTACGTGTCTGACTCACCCTATCTTCAACATAAAGAACGGCATCTTTGATTTCTGATCGTTGACGCAGATCGGAGCATCGGATCGCTTTCCTCACTTGTGTGGAACAGGATACTCCTACCATCGGCTTTCGACTGTGCGTTCGATAACGCTGAGTGGCCTTTCATACTGCTTACGCAGTGACCAGGTTTCTGACGCATACGCTAGGGCAGGAAGTACCGTTGAGTCGAAAAGGTGGGCACGGAGTCGGGTGTTCTTTGTTCTCTTCACTACATCCCCAATGCTCTTGAAAGCTCCCCAAACCGTTCGTTTTCTTCTGCTCAGCTTTGGAGCTCTGGAGGTGGTTCATCATATTGCTTTCCCGACTTAGATAAATATAAGTGGACCATTCAGAGATATTCGTTCCATTGAGCGTGAATGGGGCATGTGAAACCAATCCGTTCCTCATGAACATCGTTTTTGTGAGATTTAGTCGAAGACCAATCTTTCCACAGGCTTTATCAAAGTCGTTAAGCATACGTTCCGCCTGGCTAATGTTTGGTGTCATAAGGACGACGTCATCAGCAAAGCGAAGGTGGTGTAACTGCCGACCGTCGATTTTCACTCCCATATTATCCCATTACAACGTTCGCATGACGTTCTGGAGGGTGGCAGTAAGTAATTTTGGCGAGATGGTACCGCCTTGCCTAGCTCCTCTTTTGACATCAATGTTAATATCGTTGTAGAATGGTGATATCTTGGTTGTGAAATTTTTGTACAGCTCACGAAGAATCTTTATGTACTGAGTAGGGACTCCTTGACTATCAAGGGCTTCCCAGACTGCTTCCATGTCAACTGAATCAAAGGCCTTCTGTAAATCGATGAAAGTGAGACAGAGCGGTCCTTCGTACTCTCGCGATATTTCAGTGAGCCGTGTTACCGCGTGGATGTTGCCCATCGTACTAAATCCTTTTCGAAACCCTGCTTGCTCATATGACTGTCCTTAGTTCGGTGTTCTGTCACTCCTGTTTAGGACAACTAGAGCGAAAAGTTTGTAGACGACACACAGCAAGCAGATTGTGCTACAGTTGGCAATATCGTGTAGGTCACTCTTTTTGGGCAAGTCTTGCTGGTCTTCCGCTGAGTAGGAACCTTGCATTCAGACAGGTAACGTGTGAAGAGCCCAGTCAGTGTGTTTACGTGGACTTGCGAAAGGTTCATCAGGTGTTCTGGTCTTATTCTGCTCGGACCTAGTGCTGTTCTATTTTTGACTGAGGAAATGGCATGTCGGATTTCGGAAGGGAGAACCGGTGGTATAACATAACCATCCTCCTTTATTTCATATGACGGAAGGTGGACGTGGCTATTGAAGAAATCTGAGTAGTATTCATGAATGATTTTCTCCATTGCCTTTCTGGACGCTGTAACTGTTCCATCTGGTCGCCGGAGAGCAATCATTTTGGTCTTGTAATTGGCGAAGCTTCGATGGGCTTTGCGAATGCTTTTCCCAGCCTCTGCAGCCTCGGCCATTACTGCTGCTCTTCTCTCTCTAAGATCTTCTTTTATCACCTGTCTGCATTGTTTTGTAAGCCTGCATGTTAGTTCGCGGTTGCCTGCAGCTCGTGCGATTCCATGCTAACGTATCAGCTCGAGTTTTTCTGAAGAAAGACGTCACTTGGTGACTTTCGAACTCTGAGCTTTCATAGCGCTAACGGGAAGATGTTGCATGAGCCGATCGTATTCCTCGTCGATGTTATCGACAACGGCATCTTCCCAGCAGCCGACTAATGAATTGAATAAGTCCCAGCTTGTGGTGGTTCTGCGATTTCGGGTTTTGAATTTATTGCGTTTTTCTGCTTTCCGCGAGAAATGGAATCTTGCACGAAGGAGACGGTGGTCTGATCCCGTGTAGAATTTTTTTTCTATATTCTACATTCTTTAAATTCCACACGGGATCTACAAGAATATCACAGAGAATATTCTCTAACTATTCACACTATCTTATCTTGATCGTATAATTTTCTCTATTTCTCTACTTCCTTACGAATAAGAATAAGATTTCGTTCCATTTGAACTGCACAAGATCATAGTTGAGAATTTTTGTAAGACACGCCCATTATGCTTCCTGAACTCCATCAGTCTTCCCATCGTCCGAGTTGCAGTCTGGATGTCTTCTGCCACCTGTTGCAGCTGCAACACAGCTGCATGTCCCTGCACTGCAGACACAACAAAAGTCACTACATTCACCACTACGTTTACTAACGGGCTCATCGCCCACTTGAGAGAAGCCATCGACTTCACATATGAACTCATGTCAACTACATCAACCTTGTTTTAGCCTACAGATTACATTCCCGTCACTCTTTCTTAGATATTAATACAATATTTACTTCGTAACGATTGTGGATTCCACAGATTTCGTTTTCTGCATGTCCTCCTTTGCTTTCAAAAATGACATTCTCATATTAGATACTTCCACGAACAACAGTCACGCCCCACACCTATGTTTGGAGCAAATTATAGAGAAATTTACGAAACACCCGTCGTTTTAGTTGGTCATTTTTCGTGTGTGAAGTTTAAACATAGCACGTTTGATTTGATAAATAGGTAGCTGCGCCATCAAAAAGAAAAGAAACTATATGGATTCCTTCACCGATAAGCTAGCACGAGGTCGACCCTAAGAAACCTACTAGTTTTTTTAAAAATTTTTTTGAAATATGAGAAAAACAATTTAGGATATGGAGTTAGTCCATTCTGATCGAAGGCATTCACCATTTCTACTCCTTCTAGGAGAATCCAAGGAAACATTGGAGTCGAACGAACTGATCTTTCTACTCTTCTACTGTTATACGACCGTAAATTGGACACATCCACGATTATTTGGATATTTCGAGAAGTAAAGTTCCTCGGAACATGAGGATTTGACAAACTTCTTTAGGAGACTACGCCCAACCACTTTATTCTTTCACTCAATTCCTTTCTTCAGTTCGGCCACCAACGAAGGTCTTCAAATTTGAATGTGGGTTCAACTGCTGCTTAGGGATTTTGGTCTTCTTTGCAAATTTCGTTGAAAGCTGCTCGAATATAATGTCAATGGAAACAACTGCTAGGGAATTAACAGGCAGCAAGCAGCCTTTGTCGATAAAACGGAGCTCTTTGCAGACAAGTCTGGTACTGCAAAAATATTGATCTAACAAGAAATTAAAAATTTCCAACGCTTAGTGTTTTATTTTCCCTCAGTAACGACGCATTCGAAAACATTACATTCTGATAGATGGAATCCCGTTTGTTAATTTGCTTCGCAGTTCAAAGTAAGAACTTGACCAAAAAAAGCCAGGACATGAACGATACATGTGTACAACAAAAAATCTTCAGATTCTATTAGATTCGTATTTCAACTGATAAAAGCTCTCACAAACTATGATAAGCCAAAGTCAAAAATATAGGACGAAAATATCTCAGTCCACGATGCATTGAAATCAATTCATATGGCTACGAATCTGTCAACATCGGAAATTTCACTGTTACATCTTTGTATTCGAAAGCAAGGTAATAGAGTACAACGGAGGACTCTAATACTTACTTATTACGCGATAACACAACCACTTATTTATTTTATATTTATTTATCTCACCACTTATTCATACACATATGCAATATTCTGAGTGCATTCAAGAAAAAATTGTCCGATCAAGAAAGCAAGGCCAACGTGATGCAAATGTCTACTGTTAAGGTTAAAACACAAGACTAAAAACTCCTTATGCTAGAAATTTTCCTAAATCTTTCCGTCTCATTGGTCCGGCCACACACTCACACATGTCAAGCAATTTTCGCAATAACAGAAAAAAGCGCAAGCAGCTTTAATGAGTTCTCTCGATGAAAAAAGTGAAAACCAGTCATCGGCCAAGACCGCGGGAGGTTCTCGAACACAGGCGAATCCCACTGGCTCTATGGTGTAGGTGTTTGTGACGCTCCAAATGGGAATTCAAAACATATCACCATTAGTGTATATGTTGACTTTCGTTTTTCGGAAAGACGATGGACAGCGACTGCTCGACAGGAAAATGACCCTGAAAAGGGAAAAGAAAGTTCTTTCTGGTGATGTGGTTCTTCGTAGTCGCATCGAGACAAATCATTTGAGTGGAACCCCACTCCAATGGAGTAGGTCACTCGGCAGCACCCTTCTATATGGAACAGTTCCTGACTGACTGCTGCGGACATCTCGCCAATAAGATCTCTTTGCTAACAACCTCGTAAGCCTATCAATACGAGAAAATATTGAACAAAAAGTGCTTATAATTCTAGATTTAACAGTATATTGTTGTGCTGTTTCAACAACCTTCTCACATCTCCGCTGTTTATTTTTTTATCAACTTAGTTTGAAATATGGAGAGTTAAATGGTTAAGGAATTGCCACCATATTCTGTTGAAGCTTTCTTTTAATAATACCATCCCATGGGTTCTTATGGAAAGAACAAAAAGTATCTACAAACAAGAAAAAAAACCGGTTCTGCTTAACACGTGAGAGTTGTATAAGGCGACTTAACAGACCTTGAAGACTTCCTTTGTGTTCTCGAAGGACAAATCCAGTTTGGAGTAGCACCGCTGTATTTCTTGCGCTAACTGAGGCGTCGCTGGTTCAAATTTTGGTTGCGAAGTTGCTGTAAGTTCTTGAAATAAGTCTCGTTCAGGAAGAATCCTTAACTATGAGCAATAAACACTAGTGTTGGCTCTTATGGTTAGTTGCAGTTTGTGCTCACTACTTACAAGTGCTAATTCTTCGAACGACCACTAAACCGTGGAAATGTGGGTTTCCCTATTCCAGTATAGAGGCTTTATGTAACTCATAACTGAACACATTACTTTACTAAACCGGCTTTCACTCAACCTTGGCGTGAATAACAAATATATTTCTTTGGACTGCTCAACTAACACGAGGTTATTAGCAAACATTTATACAGCTAACGTTTCCATGTCTTCATCTTCTCCGGTGTCGATGATCTGGGTCGATGGTCCACAATCGTTCGTCCTCCCTTTGTAGGTGATCGTAACTCTATCGAAGAATCTTACTCAGTGGATCACCGCTTGAGTGAACTAACCTCACTCGGCGGTGTCCTTTTATACAGGACGATTGTTGACAAGACGTCGACTGATGACTTCGTTTCACGTCAACCATTCACCCTGTAGTAGTCGGTATTGGAATAGCTAGCAGATAGCAAAACAATACTTTACTATTTCGAAACCGACTTTCCCTGAACCTCGGTATCACTAATCAATATGTATTCTTTCTTTGATGAACTTACACGAGGTTGATAATGATGTTTATTTTCGGCTAACGTTTCGACGCCTTCGTCTTCCTCAGAGCCGATGATCCGAGTCGTTGGTCCTCGCTTGTTATTCGCCTCGACGTGGCAGCTTCGCCTTCGTGTCGAGAAAATGTATGATGTATGTCCGGAAGAAAAACAAGTTGTTATCACCAGACATTATCATTATATCGACCATCAGCATCGCGTATAAAAGGGCGTCACTGAGTAAGGATGCCTCATTCGAGGAGATGGCTCACTGAAGAAGACCTAACTCGACACGAAGGCGAAGCTGCCACG